TAAGTTCGTCACGTCGCTACGTAATATGCCATTAAGCACTGTCCAATCAATTTTTAGTATCAGTACTTATAGGTTCGTCGATAATAGAGCCTTTGATATTTCGAAATGGATTTATGTGGATAATTCTCCTAATAATGAACTACTAACAAATCCTTTATTTAAAAGGACAGTACCTATTTAATATTTATAATTTCGGATTTCGTATTAGACTTTAAAATGCATTTCAATTTAAAAATGTATACAGGTTTATTTTCCAAAATGTATCCAAATTTTATGTTTAAACTCAAATATATAAATAAAGACATACTCCTCTGCATACGTCCAAGCGACCCTTACGAATGTGTGCGTGCGTAATAAAATAATGGCAATCAGTTTTAGAATTGTGTTACGACGCATTCCGAATTTAAAAGATAAAAAGGACATAATTTTAGGATTTACTTACTAACTTTTTCTTTACTATTCGTCTATATTACTTATTCTGAACCTTTTCTGCAAATTTGGTCGTATATTACAAAATAGCCCTGCAGAATTTCTCAGTTCGTATCCTATTGTTCGTACATTTGATTAAAGGACTTAAAAAATTATTTTATACATCAAAGTTGACAAACGAGCACACAGTCCACCTGATGGTAAGTAGCTGCTGTGGCCCATAGACATCTACATCTACCCTCGATTAAGAGTCAAAATTTAGATGCGCTATCAACCCTATCGATTCAGATGGAAATCCTCGTTTTCAGTGAAAAGGGTCTCCGGTTCTCTACACCAACCACACAACTAAACACAGCATCGTTGAACTGCTGTTTTACGCTGATATTCCGTTTTTGTATAAATTCGACTTGTATGTCTTTATGTATGTTCACCGATTTTTCGGAAACAGCTGAACCAGTTCAAATTATTATTTTTATTATTTTTTAAATTAATTAAGTTATATTTCATGGGTGGTTTCATATAAATAAAAAGAAAATAATCGACCCTTTAATTTTATTTTGGGTGAAAAATTAGGAGAGGAAGATTTTAATGTAACAGTTTAACGACATTCTAGTATCTTTGAACTTGTGATGTCTACCCTAAAGGATTAAAGAATTAAATAATAATAATAATAATAATAATATTCTTTATTGACATAAAATTTTGTTACAACATTATTTAAGCCTCTGACTCCCGAGCTAGGTTAGAAAACCTGTGTTACGGGAGTCAGCGATCTCCCTAATATAATGACAGCTACTTACTTTATGTAAATAAAGCAATTTTAAAATCTGTATGTGCGTGTGTGTGGGTGTGTGCTTGTGTACGTGCGCGCGCGCGCGTGCGTGTGTGTGTGTGTGTGTGTGTGTGTGTGTGTGTGTGTGTGAGTGCGCGCGAGTGTGCGTGCGTTTGCGTGTGTTCGTGTGTGGATGAAATTTAAGATTTAAACAATTTTTTATACTAATATCGATTCAGTTTGTTCATAATCTAATCCTAATAGCCAATTCTTAATTTTAATTTTCACTTTTCTACTAGTTAAGGGATATATATTTGTTAACTTATTAATTTTGTTGTATAAATATATAGCTTTATATGCATGTTGCCGTCTAGCAGAGGCTGTTCGACATGTTATTGGTAAACATACATTTTTTATAACCCGGTTTTTGTTATAATCAGTGGCATTATAAATGGTAATCATATGCTGTTTAGTAATTAACTTGAAAATGTACAGTTGCCTCACAGTTAATACTCGACATATCTCATACAATTCTTTAGTGGGAAATCTGTATGGCCTAAATGCCATGACTTTTAAGAGGGATCTTTGTGCCCTTTCCAGACGGATTAGAAAGGTCTTACAGGCTCCTCCCCAGACGTTTATACAGTACCCTATTACAGACTGAACTAAAGCATAGTAAATTGAACGCAAGAGAGGTAAATCAGCAGTGTATCTTAACTTTTTAAACACCCAAATAAGTTTTCTAGTACGTTCAGTTGTAAGCTCTATGTGTGAGCGCCAGTTAAGTTTGTCGTCCAGTACTACACCAAGATATTTGACACTATTGGATTTAGTAATTGCAAGACATGAACATGAGGGGATAGTATTGAAAGGGTTAGTACACGAGTGGACCTTAAGATCAAGGTTTACGGATCCAGTGTTTCCCAAGGAGAACTGCATGTATGTAGTTTTCGAAATATTTAAAGTTAGGAGATTACCGCCGAGCCAATGGCCAACTCTGTGAAGCCCCAGCTGAGCGTTATGTCGAGCCTCATCCCAAGTCTTACCATGGAAGACTAAAGCTGTATCATCAGCATAGGTAAATATTTTGCCGTTTACTAAAGGTTGCTGACATAAATCATTTATATAGATAAGGAAGAGACTAGGTCCTAGTATACTTCCCTGTGGAACGCCACATACAATCGATTCCTCGGGGCTGACATATTCACCCACTTTAACCTGTTGTTTACGGTCACATAGGAAGTCCTTAAAAATCATGAGTGCATTGCCACGAATACCAACGCGTTCTAACTTGCTCACAAGGATAGGAATCGAGACCGTATCAAACGCCTTGGCCAGGTCGAGGAAAATCCCCAAACATTTTTGCTTTGCATCAACCTTTGATGTTACAAATTCTGTCAATTGAATTACCGCGTCTTCAGTGGACTTCCCCGACCTAAATCCAAATTGTGAAGAAGATATTACTTTATTATGTTCTAAAAATTTTATAAGTCTATGATTTAATGATTTTTCCAAGATTTTAGAGATAGACGAGAGTACTGAAATAGGCCTGTAATTGGAAATTTCGTCTCGGGATCCATCCTTATGAACAGGAGTGATCAGCGATTTTTTAAAAACTTTTGGAAAGATTCCTTGCGCATAACAGAGCTCAATAAGTTTAGTCAAGGGTGGAACTACTAGATGTACTGATAATTTGAGAAGTTGCACAGGTATAGAGTCCCATCCAGTAGCAGAGTTATTTTTTAAGCTTCTGATAATCGATTCTACCTCTCCCTCATCTGGTGGAAGTAGCACAAAAGAGTTAGGAACTGATGGGATTGTGAAATTATATGGAGACCTATTTTGATTTGAAATATTTGCAGCGTCAGCTAGTTTTTTACCAATATTAGAGAAGTATTTATTTATGTTTTCTACATCACGAACAGCATTTTCATTAGAACTCAAAAGGTTATCAGCACTCGTCTTTTGTTTCGTGTAATTTATTATAGTTTTAATTGCATTCCAGGTATCTTTATTAGTTTTCGCATTACGTAATAGTGACTTTTCGTAGTTTCGTTTAAGGTTTCTCAACAAAGAGTTACAATAATTTCGGTAGCGCTTATAAGTGATTTCAAGAATTTTATTTTCAGGACTTTTTTTAAGTTTACGATGAAGTTTGTCTCTGTGTCGAATACAACGTAAAAGACCAAGAGTTAGCCATGGTTTTAGCGTTCTTTGTTTATTAGGGACACGACGGGAATGGGAGTGAAGTGAAATTGCACTAGCCAACTTTTCTACAAGAGTTAATGCGGCTTCATTTGCATCAGATGAAGTGTTTATAAATGAAAAGTCCACTGTCTCTAAATATTTTAAACAAGCATCGTAGTTGATTCTAGTAAAAAGCTTTGGTTCTTTTGGTATTTGCTGGCCAGGGCAAATGCTGAGTAGGATTGAAGAATGGTCTGTTATAGTACTATTAATCACAAATACTGATGCTGCCAAACTAGTTTTGAGCATGACATGATCTAGACAGCTATGTAACCTAGTAGGATAAATGTGACCTGGAAGCAAACCTAGCTCCGCTGTTAGGTTTAAGTACGCTTCACTTCTTCGATCGTTGTTATTAACTTTAATGTCAATATTAATATCAACAATTAGTATTATGTTTTTAGTTGAGTCCAGTGGACGAACTATATTTTCTATGGAATTCAAAAAACTGTCAATACATTGAGTCGACGGAGATCTGTAAGAAGCTAAAATGAAAATGTCGGGATCAATAATTTTAATAGATATAAAATTAGCACCTAATGGCTCTGGTTCTTTTATTGTACATTTAATACCTGTTTTAACATATATCACTATACCGTCGTTTTGATTGAGACATTTGTGCGTATAGTACATATTGTAATTTTCAAATTGAGGGATTTGTTTACGGGCACTCAGCCAGCATTCAGTTAAGATAATGATGTCACATTCAAACTTAAAACGAGACAGTTGGACCAGTAAACTATCTGAGTTTTTGTATACGCTGCGAATATTTTGACAGAATATTTTCAGGGAATTAGACTTATTTTTAATTAGTGAGTTACATGTTTCAGTGTCGCACTCATAAGCCAATGCTACATCTATGTTGTCTAACTCTGTTGAGATATTTTCATTTGCATCAATTACCGCGAACAGGTTGATATATTGGCACTTATTATTGTTATACGTACTTGGTTTATATTATTATGGAATGCAAGTAAACAAGCTATTGATGTGATTTTTATGAGTATGAGTGAGGTTATAATTGAGTTTATGTGTTTGAATAGTTTTTCCACGATGATATTTGGGGTGAGTAAAGTGAAGATGTCCAGGTCAGTGTGAGTATAGTGATGTAGTGTATCCACAGTATCATAAATTGTTTTAAAATTTGTTCTTAAAATTAACTTACAAAATTTTCTATACATACGATTAAATTTACTGTAAAAAATGAGTGACAGAACATGTTTTGGAAGGCATATTCTAAATTTATATATACGTAATCTAATTCTGCTGACTAAATTTCTCCAAATCGCTCTGGAATGACATTTCTCGATTGGGTTCTGCATTCTCCATTTCAGTTGGCTTAGAGAGAAAAAAGTTATCAGAATCAATTCTAATAGACCTTTCACCAGTCAATTTTCGGATAAAAACTTGGCCATTAGTCGTCCAGCAATATTGGTATTTATTGTCTTTGGCGTACATTCTAGCTTTTCGAAATAGGGCTTTGGAGCTTGGTGGTAAATATTCTGAAATATATATTGGTATGCGCTTACCAGATAACCCAATGGATTCGGAGTTAAGTTTTTCTTCGGTAGGTTTCTTTTTTATTGAAATTTCTAGCCGCTGACAAAATATTATTTTTGCCGCGCACCGTTACAAATTCGGCCACGATAGTTTTATTCGTTCCAGGTTTACCCGGTAGACGGTAAACATCCCGCACTTCATCGTGTTTGATGGGAATATGCAGAGCATTACATACGCTGCTTACTATGGAAAGCAGGTCATCGGTCGTCTCCCTTTCTTGCATAGGGATATTTCTAAATTCTATTGATGCCGTGCGGGACTTAACCTGTAGATCGAGTATTTTTCTTTCCATTTTCATTAAATTTTCAGTGTACTCGGAACGTTCTTTTTCTAATTTTGCTATCTTTTTTCTCATATCATCATATTCTGTGGAGGCAAATGTCATAAATTTGCGTATCTCCAAATTAGTCTCTTGTATAACGCTATTTTGCTGTTTCAAATCGGAAATTTCGGTTATCAATTTCGAAAATTTTAAGTCTTGTTCAGCTGCCCAGTTCTTAAACATCTGTTGAATATCTTTTTTCAGCCTAGAATATTCGTCTAATGGTGATCCATCAAGACGTGGGCGCTTTTTGCGTGTAGAAACGTTGGAGGTTTCAATTTCATCCTCGTAACGCATGGCACTCACCATATCGGGCTCGGATTGTACTTGTAGTAATCCACTCTCGGACACAGGTGGCGGAGTGCGTTGCACGAGTGACATTTTTTTTTTTATTATACTTTTCAGCGATTAATACTTGTTTGCAGAAATAGCTATTATGCTAATAACGAGTTCGAGACAGAAGACTCCAGTGGAGGCGATCTTAATTACTGTAGGTTATTAGTTCTGTCGGCTGCCGGCTGTCGAGTTCATTTGTACGCTGTTGATTACAAATATATGAAAAACTTACGAGAACTCCGAAGAAGTAGTTTGGTAGAATTATTTTATTTTTATTGGTAGAATGTACACTTTTATATTATGGCAACATTTATGAATGAAGTGACTTGACGAGTTGACAGTGACAGCAATGTCAATTATATACACAGTGTCAACAGATTTTAATATGACGTAAATATAACTTTTGTATTCGTGGGTAGAAAATATTCAATTATTCGCCGAAAAGAATTTTTAGTTTTAGATACTGATTTTACACGGTTCACAGTTAGTTTTGATATTGAAAACACTAATGTGGAGACTTAGGCACTTTCACTGCAGAATAAGTTTATTTTAGAGCACAGAATCACAGGATTTGCACTTTACATAAATAAAATTTGCGGAGCGTGTGTGCTTCAATCAACGACTTGACAGGAGACCCAAAATTTTAGGTTATAACAATGATAATATCAAAATCAAATTAATCAATTAAATCCCCTTAAGTTCATCACGTCGCTACGTAATATGCCATTAAGCACTGTCCAATCAATTTTTAGTATCAGTACTTATAGGTTCGTCGATAATAGAGCCTTTGATATTTCGAAATGGATTTATGTGGATAATTCTCCTAATAATGAACTACTAACAAATCCTTTATTTAAAAGGACAGTACCTATTTAATATTTATAATTTCGGATTTCGTATTAGACTTTAAAATGCATTTCAATTTAAAAATGTATACAGGTTTATTTTCCAAAATGTATCCAAATTTTATGTTTAAACTCAAATATATAAATAAAGACATACTCCTCTGCATACGTCCAAGCGACCCTTACGAATGTGTGCGTGCGTAATAAAATAATGGCAATCAGTTTTAGAATTGTGTTACGACGCATTCCGAATTTAAAAGATAAAAAGGACATAATTTTAGGATTTATTTACTAACTTTTTCTTTACTATTCGCCTATATTACTTATTCTGAACCTTTTCTGCAAATTTGGTCGTATATTACAAAATAGCCCTGCAGAATTTCTCAGTTCGTATACTATTACATTTGATTAAAGGACTTATTATATATCAAAGTTGACAAACGAGCACACAGTCCACCTGATGGTAAGTAGCTACTGTGGCCCATAGAAATCTACATCTACCCTCGATTAAGAGTCAAAATTTAGATGCGCTATCAACCCTATCGATTCAGATGGAAATCCTCGTTTTCAGTGAAAAGGGTCTCCGGTTCTCTACACCAACCACACAACTAAACACAGCATCGTTGAACTGCTGTTTTACGCTGATATTCCGTTTTTGTATAAATTCGACTTGTATGTCTTTATGTATGTTCACCGATTTTTCGGAAACAGCTGAACCAGTTCAAATTATTATTTTTATTATTTTTTAAATTATTTAAGTTATATTTCATGGGTGGTTTCATATAAATAAGAAGAAAATAGTCGACCCTTTAATTTCATTAAAGGTGAAAAATTAGGAGAGGAAGATTTTAATGTAACAGTTTAACGACATTCTAGTATCTTTGAACTTGTGATGTCTACCCTAAAGGGTTAAAGAATTAAAATATCCATAATACGTAAAAACTGACCTCAAAAGTTTAAAAAAATAATTTCCTTATTGATAGGTTCTTCAGTCAGCGTTTTATTTTTACGAAACAATATGTCTTAACACCGACTTTAGCAGCTTATTATGTGGATTTAATTTTAATCCTTTTAGTTTTTGAAGTCGGTTTTTACTTCTTGTTAAAAGTTTTATTATTTAGATGGCAGTATCCACCTGCTGAGTGTGGAAAGTATGACGAATACTCATAAGATAATCTATACAATATATAATCATTTATGTATAAGAAAGTGTAAATTTTTGTATAGATATAATAATTTATAATTTCTTAAAAATATAATAATTATAATAAGCCTTTAATAATATATACATTTCAGCGGGTACGTATTAAGGTTATAGGGAAAAATAAAGAAACTTAAATTTGGTCTCGTCTGCAGCTTTTACTACAAATAAAACTTTTATAAAGAAGGGCTGATATATAAGCAACCGATAAAAGTTATACACACACATAGCATAAAATACAACATAAACAAATTTAAAATTACATTTGCATCAACAGAATAGTTCAATTGCTTCACTTTTACACTTTTATATTCACATTTATATTCAGTCAGGTTATCACTTATTTTATGGACAGCTTTCAACAGATGATTGATAAATCAGCCAAGTTTTTCACCTTATTTTTTATTCAAAGAGCTATTGAAAAGGAAATAAAATATAATATTTCAGTTCTAAGTCGGATTTTACCTGCCTATTAAAACTGTTTAACTGTTAAGAATATCCACTACCACAAAACATCCGCTGGGTGTCGTAAGAGGCCACAGAGGGAAACCGGAACAGGAGATGGGCTGCAGCGTCTTCCTGATAATAACTCTTAAAATTATTAAAAAAAAAACTCCGGCAACTATGGAGACATTAGAGGAATTTTGCCATAGTTGCCACGCTTGAGGCAATATATGACGGAGACTTATGTCAACAGTGTAATTACACTGTATGTTCACCGATTTTTCTCGATCTGATATGTATTCTGTTTCAAAATGCAATTTATATGTGAAAGAATTGAAGCTCCGTTGAATTTTATCCATATATTCATCCATCGACATTACAACCATAAAATTTTATGCATTGCATTTTGAAACAGAATATATTTTACTCAAATACATTTTGTAACATTCAGAGCTGCTCTTAGCTGTCAGTTTATCATTCCAAACTTATAAAAAATGCATCGCTTAAAAGCTCGCTACTAACCGGATGGCCTCGCAAATAAATTTCAGTTTTAGCGCCACTGGACATTGAATAACATAAATGCGAGAAATTTGAAATTTACTTTAAAATGAAATATACTTAAGTATATTATTATATTTTACAACTCTTACTTATCTCTGCCACCAAAAAGCAGTAAGAAGGGTATAGAGAGCCGCTATATTAACAGGCTATAAAGCATTTAACCTTAGAGATGACAACATATGTAGCCTTCTTTATAATCGTCTCGCCGCTCCTCGCCGTTCGTTCACAAAAGAAATATCCAAAAAAAAACTAGTTCATTTGCTGTTATTCTATCTATTTCTCGTTCATCCGTTCTCAAAATATATCAGTGTATCTAAGAGCACCATTCAGTCACCCAATTAGTTTGGTAATTGGTAACTGTCGCAAAATTGCATGTTCACTGTCACAATTATTTTTGCTCTCTCTGTTATGAACTATATAATAATAATTATTGTTATTTATTAACATTAGCTTAATATAATATAGATTTACCATCGAATACTCTATATAATACAAACAATACAACAAATACGTCAAATAATAAATCGCGATCGAAGAATTAGTAATTAGGTACTCAGTAAATTTCGGGTATTATTATACATACTGTTACGCGCACCGCAGCCCCAACCGACAAACGAAAACCGCTAATTTATATAAGTAGGCGCTGCAAGATGCGATCGGGCAGAGTTGAACTCGGCGACACAAGCGAAGCTTCGGAGCGGAATTAAGTGAATTAGTGTGTTAATTATTAGTGTTTTTAGTTTTAATTGGTGTAAAGTAAATTAAAGTGTTAATTTAGGTAATTTTATCGGCAATTTTTATTGTCACGAACCGCAAGCTCGTAACAATACAACTAGAGAAGTTGCATGTTTTTTAATTTGTTTTTGAAAGCTTATTAAACATTATCAAGAAAAAATAAAAAAAAGCAATTGATTTTTCTAAAATGTAATTTTTTTATTTATAATTACTGAAAAATCTGAATTTTTCATTTAAAAAAAGTTAATATACGATAAATTAATTATTCTTTCGCTTGATACATTTGTAGCAAAACAATTAATGCAACTCCTCTATTCAACCATGTAAGCTAAAAAGAAATCCTTAATCCAAGCTTTCTTTTTAGCTGATAAAATATATGTAGATAAATATGATTGGTCGTACAATATAATCATCCGTTCAATTATCTCAATCAACAAAACTATTACCGAAATACGAATACCAAAGATAATACAGTTAACTAAAGGAAAACTGAGAACTATTATAGAAGGACTATTATAATTATATGAACTAGTGATACGTATGAGTGATATGTATCTTTTGAACAAAAGAATAGTATCTCGCATTTGAATTATGCGATTTCCGCACGTCTTCTTAATACGGTAAGCTATGCGAATATGCAGCATAAGAATTCTTATTCGAACTAGAAATATGATCCAACACTTTTAAAAAAATTATTCGCTAATATTTCTTTCTTTAGTTTTATTGAAACGATTTATAAAGCGAACTAGTGATGCGAACATTACAATAACCGTTAGAAAGGTAGCAATTTCCAGCTCTATTTTTTTGGGTTGGTATATTTTTAAATGCACAATTACAGTGATTGATAGATGACATATGACAGTTCACTTGTATTCAACGTTTTTGGTTGTCCTGTTATTCGGAAAACTTTACGTGGTAGGGCCAAGCTACACTTATATTACGACTGTAGCACTACAGGGTCGGCTCGACCGAGGAAGAACTATGCTCTCAGAGAAGAGCAGCATTAAATAGCAGCTCAATGCTCCTGTGTTTCGTATGGTGAGTGTACAAAATCGGATAGACTTTTTACTGGAAATGAAGCATTCAATCTTAGTCCTCAGGGGTAGCAACGCATCTGCACTTTAATTCTTAATCGAGGATAGATGTAGATAGCTATGGGCTGCAGCATCCATTTACCAGCAGGTGGGCTATATGCTTGTTTATCACCCTCATTCTATAAAAGGAATCATTCAATGAATGGACTTACGATCTACAATGTC